ATCGGATCGCCATCCGATTGTCCGGGCGAATTTAGTAATTTTGGCATAAATTATAATTTCGTCACAGAGTTTTTCCGGATTTTTTGGTAGAAGGATGCGTGAAGTGAAGGAGTTGGAGATGAAACGGGAAGAAGTTGGTTGCCTTAGTGAACATCTGCCAAGTGCAGCACGAAAAAAGCGCAATTCATGCTGTTTCTGCTGCTGAAGGGATGTTAGATGAATGATTTGTGTTCGAACACACTTCTGGTTATTTTTATTGATGCTACTGTTCAGGCCCCTTCCGTACTCAGGCCCTTTTCAAAATGGAATGTGCGGAGCAAGAGCGGGACGGGGAACGGGACGACGAACAAGAACCAATTTGCATCATCGTCCAAATTTTTTCATTCCGCTCTGATTATTTCCTCACAGATTGCGATGGAAGTGCAAATTATATTCGAGAAATTACCAAAATTTCATTATAGATAATAGCAGAACAAAGACATTAACAATCGACGATAGCTCTATTTTGTGGGAGATTCCGCTATGTGTTGCAATAAGCGGGCTGAAATACCCGGTTAGACACACATATACACAACACGGATCGTTACAACATGTGCTTTTGCATTTGCACAAATGCGCATAAACGTATAAAAGTTACAATCTCTGTACTTTCAGTTTGTGCCGTACGTGTGGGAGCATCTCAGTAACAACACTAACATGGGTTAACCATGCTAGCTGTCCTTAGCAGATTTGGTCAATATCAACATTTGAAACTTTAGTACTCAAAATCATGTTTGAATTTTGCTCTTCGTTGAAAAAATATTACTCCTCTGTAGACCTAGTTATCAGTGATACTGTTATTAACAACTTACCGTTTACAGTTCAAAAATCTTGTAACTTCTTTCTTTTCTTTTGTCACCCATAGTTTGAAAGCCGATCTCCTGCTTGAAATATTTTCTAACAAGAAATCATCAAAATCCTGAATTACCATAGAATACTTCTTTCTTGTTTTATTACTACAAGAAAAATTAAAGCAGGTGGCTTAGATTTTGAAAAATTGAATTGGTTCTTTGGTAGAAATTGAAATGCATCAATTATATCAAGACTATCCGAACTGTTGGAATGGGAATCCGACAGTAGTGGCGCTACCAGGATGTACTGAAGTGCAGAGCGCAACTGTGCTAGAGCTTTACATCCTAAGCTGTACGTTGCCAGTTGATTGGTACTTGATTTCGCTATTTCATATACGCAGAACTTTCCCGAAATTCATTTGCTTTGATCAGTGCTGACGGTCAGCCTACTAGCGATCCTAATATCATTTCGTCTCCTGGATGGATTACTAAGCGGGCCGTGAATCAGTGAACAGCAAATACAGATATTATGATATATACAATATAAAATTATTTTAAGAAAATTAGATGAACAGGAATATTTCGGCCCATTAAGTCATCACATTCCTACTCAGTACCACAACTAGAAAATGTCAGTATGACGGATATGGCGATAATAAAACAAACGAATAAAATGATATAAAATTTTATGAGTAATTGGGTTATAATTTCGAATGGTGAAAAGGAGATAAATTTTAAAAAAAAATAACAAAAAGGAAGGGCACAGATTACCATAAGGCAATTAAAAAATTTCTTATTAGAAAAAATTTAAAAATTGTAGTTTAAAACTCAAATACTAGCTTTTTATTAATAAAGCAGCGAATTAGTTTTAAGGATTAGTAAAAGACATGAGGGTTCATGGGTGAATCCATCCTTCATGCAGCTTTTTGTTCGGAACCACTGAAACTTGTGTTTTTACGAACAAAATGATTCCGACTGGAATGGAAAGGGACCAATGCACAGAGGAAGTTTCGGAGTGAAACACTGCAAAATATGGGAACAGGTGGCATTACGTAACAGGAAATGTCACTAGCAGCTGTAGGAAGGATTATGATTTGCACTGCCACCAAAAACTGGTTCTGGAGACAAGCACTCGCTTGGAACTCTCTCCCTCTCCCTCTCCCCTGAGGCATCAGCAGCGTGAGCTTTAATCCACCTACTGCTGATGCAGAAAGTTTCATCATCGCATCGTCACATGAATTGGCCAAACTCATCCTCAGCCTCTCTCTGATTCACCGATCATCGAAAAAACTAACAATAACTCTCTGGAGGAATGTTGAATCCGGAAATTTTATGAATAACAACAATATAACGATGTATTTGGAACAGGGGAAGATGGTAGGCGCAGGTTTTTGATGTTTTTCGACCGGCAAAAGGACAATGTTTTTCCTTTCTAATAGTTTTTCTCAGTACCGGAATTTTGTACTCCACAACTTATTGCTCTTTCACCTCCACCCTCCCTCACTTCCCTCATTCCTTGCCAGCGCAAATCACATTCTCTAAAATCAACAAAACACTTTTTTTCTTTTAATAACTTTTTCTATTAACTAAACACTAGAATTTTGTACTGTCCCACAGATTTGTTGTTTTCACTTTTTCTTTTCTTCTTCGCTCTTCACCAGTAAATTTATAACTCTTTAGTTGTTTTTCAAGCCTTTCCAGAAAATAAGGGACCCATTTCCTACCAAATCCTCTAAAGAGTACAAACATGTGACAGCTGCTCATGCTTTCACTGATAACTGCCGAGAACAAATAAGAAGAATCGAAGCGAGGTGGCTTGAACACGACTTTACAGAGGATGATCGAGGGAGTGACCAAAAAGCTAGAAATGCCGGAGTTGGACGAATTTCAAGGAACCGAAATGTGCGGTCTTCGCCATGGCAATTACACTTAACAACTAGGCCAGACAGCACATGGATAGGATTATAACTAAGGAACTGATCCCTTCGAAAGCTTCATGTGCTATTAGATCCTTGAATGTGAAAGACAGTACTAAAACTAGAAGCTCTGAACTGGAAAGTTATTCGAAACTGAGTGGAATATTTAACAGTTATAGGAGGCGTACAGAGCGCTGATGCGTGGAAGAATTCGCTGGAACGCCCG